GATATAGTTGGGTCTGTTTAATATATATCACAGCCTTTGTATATGCAAGACAAAGGGTGGTTCAATGCATGACACTCCTTCCAATGCGTCTGGGGAAGGCTAGATGCATCAGCCATACCCCTTGTCCCAGAGAGGTGGTTTCCATGATTTGAACCTGCAACAGTTTGGTTAGGGAAAACCAGGCTGTTGTAGCATCATGCCTTGCCCTCATGTTACTAGCCACCTTTTTAATAAAGAAATCTGATTACCAATTCGTACACTGTAGGATTTTAGAGTAGTTGAAAGGTCATTGTTGCTGTAGAAACTTGGTTCTGTTGGGATATATGGAGTTTGAAGTTTTGATTGAATTCAGGGTTCTATCTCTATGCAAACTTTCTGAATTTTGGATAATCCTATATGTATTTAGCAGATGTTTGCAAGTGCGTACTGAATTAATAATTTTTAAATGTTTTTATGATCCAACCTTGTAACTATCTCCGGCAGTAAGTTAGGCCTTCTCTGTAAGTTTCTTGACCGATTTGAAAGTCTTCCCTTATTACGTCTTTTAGGTTGTAAATAAATACCACTGGCTTCCTGTTCTTTGAAGGCCATATGGCCACCAGGTTTCAATAACTGTTTTATTACAAGTGCATGTGAATGATTTCTCTGTGGAAAAATACAATGGACCTCATAAACATGGATAATGATGTTAATTCATTTTGTGTTGTGATGATAATGTTTTTATCTTTTCCCTCTGTTACATGATCTCTTAAAAGGATACAGCTTGCATTTCTATGTTTTCACTATGGAAAATATTATTATTATTATTATTATTGTCTTTGCTTTTTGCTGTAAAAAAGCCTAAATACATATTTTTGTCTGGGATCAGGTGTCACAATAATGGGGAGATGAGATTAGTCCCACAGGTGTTTGGCATTCCCCTTGTAGCAACATTGCCTGATGTTTGCAATGGATCTGATATTCGTAATGCATTCCTGAAAGTACTAAATCCATACTTGATGAGCCCTGGAGATGTATTAAATATTTTTGATGATGATTTTGCTAATGAAGATTCTAATGCTACTACTACCACTACTACTACAATTATGGATAATGATGCCGACTCAGACAGGGAATCAAGGGATGAAGCAAATTCGGATACTGACTTCCAGTTTTACTTACCAGATGCAAAAGAAGCTATAGAAGATACCTTGATAGAGATGAATGAGCCGATCGTGGTCTCAGGGTTGCCTAAGAGGTTGGAGGTGCTTGTTTTATGGTCCGATAATATGACTAAAAAGTACGATACATGCCTTTTAAACACTTTGCCAGAGGTTTTCAAGCCCCAAGTTTTCATGAGGGAGCCTGAAGAATCTGTCTCTCTGTACAAATGCCTTAAAGCCTTTATGAAGGAAGAACCTCTAGGACCAGAGGATATGTGGTTAGCATCTAACTTCATTTGAATTACAAGAACAAAACTGTTATGCATCCTCTTGACTGTTGTTTCTTGGCTTAATCTAGCTAGAGATAGAGCATGAAGTTTATTTGGTTCATTAATTATGTCATCTGTGCAGTTTGTCTTTTTCGGTTTTCAGAATTTTTTAAATAATAGATTGTAGTCATATACCTGCTGCCTATCTTAATGCTAGCTTTTGCAATGATATGTTGTTTACAGGTACTGCCCTATCTGCAAGAAGCCTCAGCAAGCTAGCAAAAAGTTAGACCTTTGGAGATTGCCTGAGATTCTGGTTATTCATCTGAAAAGATTCTCGTACAGCAATTTATTTAAGAACAAGCTCGAAACATTTGTTGATTTTCCAATTTATGGTCTAGATTTCTCACCTTACATTAGTCACCGAAATAGCCAGTTATCCTGCCAATATATGTTGTATGCAATTAGTAATCACTATGGCGGCATGGGTGGTGGTCACTATACAGCATTTGTTCATGTAAGTTCTGTTTCTCTTATTGTTAGAAAATTCCTTAGGCTTTTGTCCAAGTTTCTCAATTGAATCCTTTATACTCAGTGAAAGCCAGACCGCACTTAGATGCTCCTTTCCTTTCTTTTTTTATTACATGCATTTTATCCCCAAGTTTTCTTCACTTTAGGGCTTTCTCAATTGAATTGGTAAACAATTTTTGTTCCCTGTGCAGCTTGGTAATGGTTTGTGGTATGAGTTTGATGATGAAAAGGTTCTTCCTGTTGGTCAAGAGAGGATCAGGACATCAGCTGCATACGTTCTTTTCTACCGAAGAGTACCGGATATATAAACACATAAACAGACAGTTGTATAGTTAAGTAACAGTTGGGAAGCAGGCTGCCGGCGGGATGCACCCGGTTTAGATATTGGAGAGATTTTGTAGAGAAAAGGAGCACAGGATTCATGTTGTACAGCTTTTAATGACGTCAGTGAAAGGGGCACAATAGAAGACCTCTCTTGGTTTTTGATTACATTGTATATGTATACTTTGACCCAGAAAAATTATTCAAATCCCATCCCTTGTTCAACAGGGTTATCTTTCCCTCTTTCTTCAGTATTTGTTTTATCTGTGTTTCTCTTTTACGGAGTAGCGATTCGAACTTCCACTTCTCCTAACATTAAAAGAGAAGGGTAAATTACTCAAACGGTCCTCAAATTTGTACGCGATTTACATTTTGGTTCCTAAATTAAATTATTAGTCCAAATGGTACATAAACACTATTTTAATCGTTCATTTGATCCAACCGTTACGTTCTATCAATGTTGCTGTTAAATGAGGGCAAATTGGTCATTTTGTACGTTAAAAATAAATAAAAACTCTCTCTCTCTCTCTCTCTCTCTCTCCATTCCCCCATGGCCACCACCCTCAAGCTCCAACCCCCAAACTCATCCCACAACCATTCTCCACCCAAACCCATCCAACAACCACCCTCTATCCCAGGCCCTATGAACCCAAAACCCAGGCTCCTCCCCACCCTCCACCCAAGCTAGCAACTATAGAAAAAGAAAAGAAAAAAAATCTTCCACAAACCCCCTCCCAACTAACCCAGAACCCCAACTCAACAACGACCCAGACCCTCTCCCCCTCCCTCTTAATTTCCCTTTATTGTTGAGAAACACGACCCACCACCCTCCTCCCCACCTCATCACCCGCCAACCCCACCTCCCAAAATCACAGCCATTGTCAATTTCTCACCCTCTAAGTACAAGTACAGATTCTTCAACCAAGATGCCAAAATCGTTGTGAGGCTTTTGGGGATTTATGCCATCAATACCAAGGCCAACACTCCCACCATTTTCGCCATTGCCCACTTCCTTAGGAGCTTTCCTCTTCCTCTGCGTCTCTTCAGCAACTTATGTTATTATTATTTTGGACATTAATTGTTGGGCTGGATGGTTGAAGGTCATTGACAAACCATCTTTTCTTTTTACAAACATAGTAATTGGAGAGGTCTGTAGGGAATTGGGGAGAAGAAATTGAAGGGAGGGGGTTTGGGTCTCATGATTTTTTTTCTCTTTTTCTTCAATTATTTTCTAATTTTGTATTTATTTTAACCCTATTTTATTTGTTAATTATGAAAAGTCGTATTTGCCCCTAAAATTTGGTTACATTTAACAGAAAATGTAACGGTTGGATCAAATGGGTGATTAAAATAGTTTATATACCATTTGAACTAATAATTTAATTTATGGACCAAAATGTAAATCTTGTACAAATTTGAGGATCATTTGAGTAATTTACCCTAAAAGAGAAATATCATTAGGCCTATCTAATTTTTATATGGAGCTAAAATTGCATAACGCGAGAAAGAGGCACTCATATTATTAATATTATTTTTTACAGAATCTTTTCTATTGAAGGGGCGACAACATACTAAACTCACACATACTATACGTAGTTTTCTCAGGCATTGGAGTTGGCGACTGGTTTTTCTCATTTAACCAGTTACGCTCCCCCCTGTGTGCACTGGTCCCCTCCACTGTTTCCTTGCTTTAAAATTAATATTGATGGTGCATGGGAAGCCAAGTCTGGCTTGGGTGGTGTTGGTGTGGTTATTCGTGATCATAATGGTGCTTTCGTTGGCGCCACTTGTCAATCCTGTAACTTCTCATCTGCAGAGGAGTGTGAGGCTCATGCTGCGATCGTGGGCCTTTCTTTTGCCTTATCCTTGCAGTTACAACATGTGGTGGTGGAAACTGATTGCCTTGAGCTATTTTCTTGTGTTAAAAATGATTCTGCGAGTTGTAACTGGAGGTTTTACACTTTCCTTGCTGAATTCCGGCGTTTGGAGGCGTTATTCAGAGTTTGTGATTGGAATTGGATTCGTCGTCAAGCTAACGGTGCTGCTGATGCTGCCGCCAAGCTAGCCAAGAGGAGGTTGCGCTCTTGCAATTGGGTTAATATTCCCCCACCCTCCCTAGTTTCTGTACTGTTGAGTGATGGCTTGCCAGCTCCCCCTTAGTTTTGGTTGTAATTTGGATCTGGTGCTTACTGTTCTTAGTAGGCAGTATTTTGTGTTGTTTTCTTATCTTCTTTTGCTTTCTTGCCTTTCTCCCTAGTGGCTGGGCTCTCTCTTGTTTCGTTTCGTTTTGGCCTTGTTTGGCTTTTTATGGAGGTATCTTTCGATAAAAAAAAAAACACATACTATACGGATATTAGTATTCGAACCTAGAACCCTTGGGAGTATTTGCTCCAGATCACTATACTACTTGGTCCTTTGCTGATAAGGATTTAAAGTTAAACTAAACTATAAGGCCCTATTCGGTGGATTGAATTGGATTGGACAGATTCAATTAAAATCGACATGGATCCTTTGCTGAGAGGGATTTATAATTAAACTAAACTATAAGGCTCTATTCGGTGAGTCGAATGGGATTGGACAGATTCAATTAAAATCGACGTGGATCCTAACCATAATTTGGTGGGCTTAAAAAATTATCAGGGCGTGGATATGGGTAATGGACAGCTCAGAATATGAGCGGCTCGAGAACCCATCGCCAGACATGGGTTTATTACGAAGTCGTCGTCTCTTTTTCAGCACGATGGTCGTCTCTGGTTTGCCTTCTTCTGACTTCTCCTCTCTCTCTCTTTCTCTCTCTCCGTACCAAAAAAACAGCTTCAGATTTCTCTCTGAATCTTTGTTTTTTATATTATTGTTAAATATTTTGATATTTTGATGAGTGTTGTCTTGCTCTTTTGGTTTTGTTGGAAAAAAGAAAAGAAAAGGAAAACTAACTTATCAATTGATTTGATAGTGGCATTTCGGTCCAAGTTTGAATATTCTTCCAAAAATTCAATAAAAAGAAAATTGATTTGCCAATTTTGCCATTTGTTGCTTACGTAATAACGGTGTAGCCAATGCCAATGTAGGTGTAGCGCGCGCTATCCAGTAACCATCTGTTGAATAGTGTTAGATTCTTTGTGGAGGAGAGAGAAAGAAAGAAATATTCTTTGTGGGTTCAATTCTCACATACACAGGCGCTCTCGCGGCTGTTCTGCGCCGAATATTCATATAGAACTAATGGCTGCGCACACTTCTGGTAAACTGGAATTCTACTCATAACCACATACTGCTTACTTTTCTTGTATTTTTCATGTCGAAAAGGTGTATATTTGAGATGTAGGTAATGGGTTCTGAAGCCTTTGTGCTTAGGAGCATATTGGCATCACTGGGTTCCTCCTGGATTTACAGATTTTGAAGAGGAAGATGGAGAGAAAACAGAGAAAGATGTCTCTTTGTGGTGGGTCCTAGGAATTTTGGGTATCCCAATTCCGTTAAAACAAAATTCCCATTCCCACATGAATAATTCTTGTCTAGCTTAGAAATCCATGTAGGATATTAGGAGTTGGGGATAGTTTACAAGCAAAGATGTAGTTTTTAATAACTGGTTTTGTCTGTGAGCATGAACTTTTGCCCCTTGTGTCTTTGTTTTGATGGTTGGTGTTTTGTGATAATTGATTTTCATCAGGAACAATACAGGAAGATGCTGCAATAAGAGGGGGAGATAAGCTCATATTAAGGGGCTTGAAGTTCCATGGTTTTCATGGAGTGAAGCCAGAAGAAAGGACGCTGGGTCAGAAATTTGTGATAGATGTTGATGCTTGGATGGATCTCCGGGAGGCTGGTAAATCTGATCGTTTGTCAGATACCATTAGTTACACCGAAATTTATCGGTTAGTAACAATATAACCACACCACCTTCATTTTCCATTACCTCGAAACTTGGCATATATCATGTTTTAGTCTAGTCTAGTGCTGCAGTCCCATCATTTGCATATTGTTGTCAAATATTTACCTCAATTTGCAATGGCATTGAAAAATTATATTCTATTTGGGTCCTTTTTTAGTTCGGTCTGTTTTGATTCAGTGGTTGTGGTCTTATAGAAAATGGAGATGCAAAAAGCTAGGAATTTGTATGTCCAGAAGAAAAGATTAAACACAATATGCTTATCGTTTTATATCTAAGGTTTTCTCAGACTGATACTAGGTCACTTTTGATGTTTTGCATTTGTAAACCACAGCATTGTAAAGGAAGTTGTAGAAGGGCCACCTCATAATCTTCTGGAGTCTGTGGCTCAACTCATCGCATCTACCACTCTGAAAAATTATCCCCAGATATCTGCTGTCTCTGTGAAAGTTGGGAAGCCGCATGTCGCTGTTCATGGTCCTCTTGACTACTTGGGTGTCGAGATATTTAGATACAGAAGTGTTGATGCGCCAAACTAAGATTTTATTCGTTACTCAAAAAGAGGCAAATCTATGCCCCTTGTGACAGCCTGACACATTTGACTTGGGTGTTATTTTGTTTTCTTCTCTTTTGAACTTGTTTGCGGGGATCCTTGTTCCGTATCTTGATCCAGCGACAGTTATTGTTTATGTAGTTCTTTCTTGTGCTTATCCTGATTTTTCACTTGGGATTTCATCTTGGTTTCATTCTTTATAGTACTTGGTACACCTCTGAACTTCATTTTATTGAATTTCTTCGTCAAGATTGCAGCAACGAGTCAAAACCCGAACTTATACAGCAAATAAGAATTAAGTCAGATGCAAAGTCAGCTGGTCTCGACTCATGGGTGAAAATAGTTTAAATCAGTTGGCATGATTTGTTAGTAGTTGTAATGAGTTGCAAATGTGGTGGAAGAAATGAGTGTATCTTGTCAACAATAGCTACTACGTACACAATTACATCCATTCAGAAAATAAAATACAAAATTGTTGAGGCTATCTTTGGAAGATGACAAATTACATTCTATTATGCATTGCTATGCCGAGAGCACTCTCTCTCTCTCTCTCTCTCTCTAGAGTTTTCCAAGATTGCATCTGTCTTCAGTTGTCTGAGTCTTGTTGGTTTCATTAAAACGAACAACCATTGTGGGCAGCTTCTTTGATCAAAGATGATACCAAGATTTAATTCATTTCCTTTTGTTTTCCTGCCATCATATGATCATATATATGCTTAGAGTCGGAGAAGTTCTTCCCAATAGCTTTTGCAGTTCGAATCAGTATGTTCTCAATGCTTACCGTCTGGAATCAAAATTTGAGTTGTGTTATCGTTGCTTCCACTAGTGTCTCACCTTTCCAAAACATTTGAAGATTCTTATACAAATATACAGCTAACCTAATATACTAAAATGGACACGTGGAGTATACAGCCTGCCGAGAAATGTTAAAGTCCCACAGTAGTCAGTATGGTTTAAACTTCATAGGAAATACCAATATCCAAAAGAATTTAGGGCTGCCACTTTCAGTCGTTTGCTGTTTGCGAGAATTCTGGAACCAACAGCAGTGCAAACACACACTATATTTCTTTTACTGCACCATCTAACGGATAATTTGGTTTTTCATTTGTTTACCTGTGAACTCCACTTAGGCGTAAACATGAGCAAGAGCTCATTCTCTGCCTCAATCAGAGGCCAAGGAAGAAGGGGGAATGGGTAATAATTTATTCTCTCAAATGAAGCCAAGTAAGAAGGGACTACGATGATACTCAACATATCAAGCGTTCAAAACTACAATGGCTTAAAAAAAACATATTTAAAACTGCATGCAGCCACTACCAGAAACTGCGACAAGGTTGCTCTTCCTACTCTGGCACTTCATCATTCACACTTGGAACATTATCAAGATTCAAGGACACAGGAGGAGTCTCAAAACTTTCTTTTAGAATATGAAAGCATGGGAAGGAAGCTTGCTCATGCAGCGGCACCATTTCGTTCACGCTCACGGGCTTTGCCTTTGCGGTTCCAAATTGGAGTTGTCTCAATAAGCTTATGAGGAACAAGCCTTCTTTCACGCTTTGTGAGCTTCACGAAATTCTTAACTTTCAGTTTGGCTATCTCTGCCTCCTCGTCAGGGGTGATCTCCCTTACTACCACTGTCAGTCGGCATTCTGCTCTCACTTTAACTCCACATTTGCCTTTAGCATGGTAGGACAGTCTCTTTTTGAAGTATCCCTTTCCAACAAATGCCTCAGCTACAAATAAGGAGAGAATGCAGAATGAGGGTTGAAATTGGAAACAAAGAGAAAGAAGAAATTAATTTCGATTTCATTATTTACCAACAAGGAGACGGTCTGGATCCAACCCGTGATTATGAGTAGCATTTGCTCTGGCTGAGTGAATGACCTGCAAATAGTAGTTTCTTACATAATGTTGAAATTTTGTTGTAAGTTCTATTTCGTGTTAGTAAGACATGAGCATAATGAAGCCATCGCATGTGAAATACCCAACCTCTATACTGATTTCAAATGATGACAACTAACTGAATAACTATTTTTAAAGTAAAATTAAAATTAAAAATTCTCAATGATACCACAAGAAGATGCATCTCCTCCATTCCTGTCTTCTCAGAAGTCAAAATAATTCAAAAAAAAAATCACTTAAATGTTCAATCCATTCATTCCTGTCCTCTAAAATAGATGCATGATGGCTGTATCACCTGGTACACAGTTTTGGAAGCTCGCTTTACTGTCACTTGCAACTGCAACAATGCATCTTCAACACGCATACCACGTACCAGTGCAGCAACCAAGTTAACCTTCTTAGGACTCTGAGAGTGAAAGTGAGTGAGCTAAAATCACTAAAAGTAATTACGTATAAGGGGGAAACTTGAAAATAATATCAACTATACAACTTTTAGAACAGCCATTTAGGTGACCAGGGATCCTTTACGTTAATGTCTAAACTGAATTAAAAAAAAAAAACTGAATTTAGGTAACACGAACTATCCAAGAAACAACTCCAATGCTAGGACTATTAACATCCAAACTGAATTTAAAAAAAAAAAAAGGAATAGACATCATTTTTAACAAAAGGCATGCCTCCCTGTGCCATAGAGAAGGTCTGCAAGATTACTGTTTTCACTGTTGTCCTTTCTTAAATACATCACACACACCCACATAATCAGAAAAAATGAATAATATTTGTTTTCAGAGGAACTTGTTCAGTCAGCCATCCAATCATTTCTAAATACATTACACACATAATCAGAAACAGGTATGATATTTTCCTTTCTAAGAAGTTGTTTTCACCACCTCCCCCCCTCCTCCCTCTTCATTGGTCATCAATTATAAGGTAAAATTGGTAGTCATGCACAAATGTTTACCCAAAAATAAAATTTGATTATTCGGCAGCAAAGGAACATACCACATGATAGAACAAAGTGTTTGATGCCCAGATGCATCAAAAACCAAATTCCATAGAACTTTAGAATCCATTGCAAAGCTTCATAACGATGCAACCAGAGTGCAATATCAATACCTGTTTGATGCCCTTTAAGATAGCTTGAACTTTATCAGGTTTAGTCAGTGATTTTTGCTTGTGCTCTTCATCTTTTCCAGTCTTTGATGTCAGAAGAGGAGTCAATGGAGATGGAGAAGGTGTTTCCTCAGCTAGTAAAGTCCTTGAACTCGAAATTCCCTGGGACAAAAAAAGCCAAGACAAGTTGAGGACAATACAGAAATGAACAATTATCGAAAGAACATAAAAATTACAGATATCACAACTACCAAGTGCTGAAAATATTGATGAAGGGGCCTTGAAATGGTTGGAGCAGATGGTTTGCAAAGTGTTTGAAAATAAGGCAAGACACCTGCAACATTAAGATTCTTATTAATCAACACTTTCTTATAAAACCAACTAAGCAATAGGACATTTTGAAGCTACTAACCCTCTAACCGAGAAGAAGAAGAAGAAGAGAAGTTAGCAGAAGGGTTGTAACTACATTCCACCCTTTTCCCAATTTGACGGATTGCTGACTGAAGATGCCTCTGCCAACCCACCATGGCTGCAACAGAGAAATTACCCACCTACCAGAACACGAAAAATACACACGTTCAGTATCATATTTGGGCATTTGGCTGAGAATCTGAGACTGGGAAATCTGAAAGTTCACTTCTTTTTGTTGATGGCTGCTCAAAACCCAAATCGACCCACTCCTACCTGAGCCTTCTTTCAAATCAGAACGGTACCGGAAGCCTCAAGCTTGAAGTCTCTCAAAGCCCTCTTACCGCCGCAAACCTAATACTCCCATTTCTCTGTATTTTACGGGACTTCAAATTTGAAGGCTGAAGCTTTTTGGAAAAATATTTTAGAAAATATTTATTTCATTTAGAATTTATATGATTTAAAGTTACCCAAATAAATAAATAACAAGAAGCTCATTCTATATATTTTTTTTTCATATTATAATATAAGTAAAAGGATATATAGTCTTTTCTTTGTAGAAAAAAGGATTACATAAATTAGTTAATTAGCTCATCCCTGATAGTAATTTTTTTTTTTTTTAAATATCAAAAGTGCAATAGCCCTATTTTTTGTACAACCATGATCTACCAACACAATGATGGATTGGAATTTGGATGTATAGTTTGGCTAATTGATAGAATGGCAGATGGCCCCTTTCCATTATGACTCCACAAATTAATTAAGTGCACTCTTAGAAATGTAATATACGCATAACATTTTAAGCAGTAACATCATACCCGTAGCCCTTTTTGTGAAATTTTTGTGCCCCCATGGGAAAACATTTGATGAATCTTTCTTTTTATAACTAACTTACCCTTATTCTAATATTCTAATATCACTTTTTATTAATAATTTTTAATTAAAACATAAGAGTACTATTGAAAAATTGAACAATTTTTCATTCATAATATTACACAAACCAAATTTAAGAATAAAAGAAGATGGCCTTTTTTGGTCGTCATTTCCCAGCATTCCCAAACACTGTAAAGAACATATTTCATTCTCATCTTTTAATATTAGACATGTGAGTTTCATTCCCAACAAATTTATTCCGCAAATCAAATATAAGATTTTGTTCTTTTATAATTAATAGCAAAACTACAAATATGTTATAACTTAACATGTAACACGTCGGACAAAATTAGGCCCGCTTAGGTAAATCAAGCGGTCTAAGCACAACATGAAGTACAACTAAGCTGGCCTTAAGTGTCTCGTCTGGCCCATTGTAGACCTCTATTTATAACCTAACATTAATAATAAGCAACATTTTGAAAAAAAGAAAGAAAAAAAAACTTAGACTAATTACAAATTTACGTACACTAAATTATAAGAATGATAATAAAAAAAAACTGAAACAGGAATGAATTTGAACAAGTCATTACCATAATGCTCTCTTCTCTTGTATACATAATCTTCATTCCGAGCAAGTAAATATATATTATTATTTTTTAAATTATAAAAGAAACTAAAGGTTACCAAAAATAATATTGATTGAAAAATTACATCCCCATTCGAAATGTGGGGGAATGATGATGAGTAACAAACAAGGAAAAGGTTTGGATATATATCAAGACTAAATTAAATTAAAAACGAAGAAGGAAACCGAAACTGATTTTGAGAGTTTTTTCTTGCCCAATCAAGTATATATCCCCTCAAAGGCGCTCTATATTTCTTCCTATATATATATATCTCCTCCTCTATAGAAACACCAACCCTACCTAGTATACATCGCCTCGCCTGCTCAATCAATCTTTTGTCCCTCCAATTTTTTTTTTGGGCTAGAGATATGTCAGACGATTCTAGTAGCACTGTTACAAAACAAAGAAGCACCATGGGCCGCAAGAGGATTGATATCAAGAAAATACAGAACACAAGCTCCCTCCAGGTCACGTTTTCCAAGCGACGAACCGGCCTTTTCAGGAAGGCCAGCCAACTTGGTGCACTCTGCGGCGCTGAGGTGGCCATCCTCGTCTTTTCTCCCCACGGCAGGCCGTTTGTCTTCGGCCACCCCTCCGTGGACTCCGCCATCTCCCGCCTTGCAGGCACAAGCACCAGCGCTGAGTGCATGCATGCAAGTGGTGATGACGAGGAGACGCATAGTAGTATAGTCCAGTCCAATCTGGCCCACTCTGGTACAACTTACGAAACAAGTCCAGATAAAGAAGGCCTTTGCCTGCGATTGCGAGTTGGTGGCGGCGGAAGCATGGGACTAGTGAAGGAGGAGACTCAGGAGGTGGCGGAGGCGTGGAGCGGAGGCCGTGGATTTTGGTGGGACCAGCCGACTGAGAAGATGAAATTGCATGAACTCAAGCAGTTCAAGACATCCCTAGAAGATCTGAGGACTAAGGTGGGCATGCAGTTGGATGAGATGGCGAGGCGTAAATTGGCTGCGAGGGATTTTCTGGGTGTATATCGTAATGGCAGCTGTGGTTAATGATCTTTGGTTTTCATGGAGGCGCGGTAGATTAGGTTAAAATGTGTTTAAATTTTATCAATTTCGTTTTGAGTTTACATATTTTGATGATTTTGATTTGTTGTCATTTGATGTCGTTATTAAATTCTTGATTCTTTTGTTTTTGGTAAGAGTTAGATATTATTTGATGCTTTGGCCACAAGCATGGAAAGTTTACTACACATATATATGGAACGTTTATTGTTCTTTGCAAACTGACATTAATAAGAAAGAAAATCGCATTACCTAAATTGGAAATTTTATAACTCTTAATACACCAAAACTTGTATTCAACAAAGGGCAATAAACATTGTGAATGTCCTTTGACAACACGCTCGCGGGTGTCGTGTACCTTGAAGTCTTGCACTTTTAATGTCTCTTTGATGTTGTCGTATACATCGATGCACGATGTTTAAACTTATTTCACAACATTCGAAAACTTATTTGACAACGCTCCAAGGACATGGTAGAAACTACCATTCTCTTATTCTTCTAACATCCTATGAGCATTGCAAATTAGGTTTTCACAACACACTGTTAATGTTGTCATGTTGCCATCCACAACGGGATTATATGCGCTGTCAAATCCTAACTTTTTTTTTTTATAAAAAATATATAAAAATTAAAATATGTGAATCCTATTCATTCAAATCATATGATATAAACATAAATGAAATAATGAAATTTAGCAATTCTTGGATTAATGCTAAAAATATTCAACAGAACTATCTACCAAAAAGATCTTTTGCACTCACAGACAAGGAAGTTCAAATTTGAATGCCATTTTATTACTATGCATAAAATAAATTCAATACAAGAGCAAGGCTCTAGCGCTAGAAGTGAGAGAAATTAAAATATATTGTCGCAATAATGGAAAAGAAATTAAAATATTACTGTCATTAGATTTAACCCTACATCAACTGATTCAATGACCCTTACTGCAACCCAAAGCAAGTATAATGACTAAAATTCTTGACCACTTGATTGGAGAATTGAGAAAGCTATACACTTGTACAGCTAATGGGGAGGAAAAAGATGGATTACTGTGGACGAAGCTTTCTCATCAACCACTTCTTTCGGAGAGCCGCATCCAGTGCTAAAAACATTCTGGCTCTCCCTTCATCCTCTAAAAAGTCACAGGCATCTAGTAATAGATCATCGTCAATGTCTGGTATAGACTTCAAGACACCAATAACCTTCTCTATGGATACAGATTCCTCTTTCTTTAGTTTCTTCTTCAATGAAGACACTACGACTGCCATATCTTCTAGAGCTTTAACGGCCACAACTCTATCCGTTCTTCGCGCTTTTTTAGACTGTTGTAAGGTTTCTGGTATTTGAAGATAATGCCTTTTCTTTTGATCTGATAAATTCTTGACACTACTTGAACCTAGTGGTTTTCCGTGAGCATAATGTTTGTCAACAATAGGCATAGCTTCTCCATCAGTTTTCTTAGCAAGGGTTCCCTTGTCAAGAGCTAGATTGCAACTTGAAGTAGCTTTTTTCAAAATTCTAGCTTCATTTCCGCATATGATGCACATATCAGAATAATATGGCATAGCTTTATTTCTATACATACGAAAACTGGGATGTGCCTGCATTCATAACAAAGTAAGGTGCAAGCAATAGACAGCGTTTTCCCTTTAATAATTAATCAAGAACAGTTCATATACCTTGATATATTTATTCCAGACCCGATCATCAGCTACCATCTTTTGTTCTGTTTCATCCCACTTAAACCCCCTTTGATCAAGCAGAATCTTAATGCTACTGTAATGCCTCCTAAATATACTGTAACGGTTTTTCAAGACAGCCCTACCATGCTGAAACCTGAATTTCTCATTAAAAGATGTGATCATAGACACCCATGATTTCTTCTTGAAAGAGCGACCGACCTTATTTCCTTTACACACCTCATCCAACATAAGTTCAACAAAAAATTGGTCCATAGTCTGTGACCACTCAATTTTAGGATCATCATTAATGGGATCTTGACAATCAATTCCTATTGCTACAAAATTTGAGAAACATTAATAATGTTGCAACAATGTTTGCAGATAATGATCAAATAGAAAATTAGCTTAACTAAAGATCACCAAATTGACAGTGATGAATAGCAATTTCTCACACTATACGTACCTTCGTTTTCAAAGTCTACATCATAACATGAAAGACTGTATCTTCCATCAGCAACTGCATGCCCACATATTATGCACAACTCGTTATAATATGAAACGACTTTTGTTCTGTATAGTTGCATTTCAGGGTGGGCCTGCAGGGAACATATGCAATCTAACTGCAAAATAACTTACTTTTTGGACAATGGAATTTAAAGATTTAGGTAAAATGGTGTACCTTGATATAGTCATTCCATACACTATCATCAGCTGTTATCATCTGTTGTGATTCATCCCATCTAAAATTACCCTGATCAACAAGGCTCTTCATCTCACTGTACTGCTTCCTCAATCTTTTGTATCGATTTTTCAGAATATCTGTATCATACTTAAATCCAAATTTGGTATTAAAGAGTACAATCATATCTGCCCATGCTTGTTTCCTAAATCCATGACCAGTTTTGTTCCCTTTGCTCACTTGTTCTAGCAAAAGGTCAATGAAGAAGCTGTCTTGAGGTGGAGTCCAGTTAGCCCTCAAATGGTCACCGGTGCTAGAAAAACCAGAATTCATCCTTCACCTGCAATTTTAAGAATCTTGTCAATGAAAAGAACAGCTGATGCTAATGAAAATGCAATAAACTTAAAGAGGTACTTAAGTCACAATAGCTCATACTGCCTAGATGAACACCAGATTTGTAGTTGTAAATAACTGCATGCTGCATTATATTGCTTTTAATGTCAAAATTAGACATTCATCCACAACCACTTAGACCAACAATGCCACCACCATCAATCTCACTGCTAACACAACCACCGTGCCGCTTTGTGCTACAACTAAAGTCTCATCCATTGCCACCATTTGCTTATGCTATTGCCTCCCTTCCCCACCAAGACTGCCCACATAAACTTGTCCACCATTAGTCATGACCCTGCTACTCTCAGTCTTATAACTCTTTTTTATTTTATTTTTAATATTGATAAGATTCAGCCTTATAACTCCTAAAGAAATAATGATTTTTTTTTTAATTTTTTTTTAAAGAAGAAGTTCTTAGGGCTGCAAAATTATTTTGGCCACATAATTTTAATTGGATTTCAAAACTTCGACTAACCAACAACGCGTAATTGCTTCAAAACAATTGGATAGAAACCCTAATCCTCTGCTTGGTTGCCGAGAAACCGTTTCCGGACGATTTCTCAAGATTCAGAAAAATTAAAATTCACATACAAGCAGAAATCATATGGAAAAAGGATAAAAATCAGAACTTTGATAAAACAAGCAGCGGTGAAGAACAGAAAGTACCTGTTGGATTGGATTGGCCTTGAGCCAACGAACTGTGGGTGGCTAAAAAAAGGGAATAAGATTATCCACGGATAAGAGTGAGAAAACTTGTGTTTAGCTTTGGATTTGGCTTCAGCTTAATTTTAGGAATGGGCTTAAGCATCCACAATCATACTCTCTAATTTTTTGTTAAATTTTAGCTAAAAACATATAAAAGTTATTTTAGAGGTTCTTTATAAAATTTAAACTTCAATTATTCTATCTAGTTTAAGGGGTTATAAATGCTATAACTCTTTTTTGATTGGTCCATCTCTATTAAAAAATAAAATAAAAAATAATTAGCATTAAATAAAGATTTGAAATACTTATAAAATAAAGGGAGTTTCACTAAAACACCCAAAATGGAGGTTGAAATTATAAAAAAATCCAATATAAAAATATTTTATAAACATACCCAAAATTCATCATTACACACACTCAAAACTCATTTATAAACACATCCAAAAAGTTGACTTTGGGGTTGATTTTGGGTGTGTTTCTATGTTTAAATAATGCTTGAGTTTTTTTATAAATACATGTCTAGGATTAGGTTTATTTATAAATTTATATAAAATAAAACAGTATTAAATTATATGGAGCCACTAAGAGTTATTTCTCTCTCCTCCGATTTAGAAGCTCCTAGAGGTCTCCCTATTTTAGGAGGTGGATATGGAGCATAGTTGAAGTTGTATTTTTATAATTTCTCTCTAAAATTTGTCTAAGGATGTGATTTAGAGAGTCTATTATGGATGCTCTAAACTATCAGAAAAACTTGCAACGGTTTGGATTTTGAGTTACTCAACCAAACCGATCAACCTGATCATAAAAAATTTAGGTTGAATTAGATTGGCCTAAAAAACAATCATAAACCACCATATATCAGGTTGGGACTAAAATCAACCAGACTCATGTCATGCCCACCCTTAGCACTAGCTTAAGGGAGGGCCCCAAAATATTTTTTTATTTATTGTGAGGTCATATTCAACGCCAGCCGTGATGGTGAGGTCTAGTTTTTACTTCAAGTCCTTCCTCCTCCACTTCGTAAATCCACCACCAGTCCGTAAACCCAAATTCCTACCGCCACTAACAAAGAAAATCGTCATCAATTTCAATCAACGAAGGTCCCAACCAATCCAACTCTAACAAGGAACAACCTCATCCAACTTCGACATGGAACCACCTGTCCCGCTACTTAGCCAAGCTAAAAACCCACATTAAATGTCACATCAACTTCAATCAATTATAACCCAAAGTCCCAACATCAGCAGGGCAACCCATACCACACAAACAAACTCCTTGTATTTTCCCAACCTCGACGGTTCTTTGTGTTAAACTTCATAGTTTTGTTAGAAAAGATGAGCCTTTGAGTATTCTATGAAAATATTTTCCATCTAAATACCACCCGTCATGTGCGTCAGAGAGGATAGAGTGGTTAGGCGCTGGGGGGGGGGTGGGTGGGGGGGTGGGGGGGTTGGGGGGGGGGGGGGGGGGGGGGGGGCGGGGGCTAGGAGTGTTTCGCCTATTAGAAAGAACATGAAATATAAAGTTTTGCCCCAAACATTTTCTTAACTTTAGTTTTGTTATATCATCTCACTCAAATTTAATTTTTGCACCCACAGCTTTTAGTTATTTAAAATCACATACTCACTACAATATCGAATAATTATATATATATATATATATTTTTCAAAGTTAGAAAGATGAGGGAGAAAACTCAACCCATACGATAACACGGACACATACGATAACACGGATACCATAAAAACTTGAACGCAAGACGAATCGGAGCACACCCAAAACTTGACCTCAACCAACACACACCATATTCGTATTCTATCCCCCTTTTTTGTGATAGAGGTCCATTTATTTTACCCACCCACCGACTTGCATGTGGCAAAACGAGTGTGATGAGTGCAGGCCCATACTTTTGATGTTTGCATTCAATACTTTATTAGGTAAGAATAATAACATGATCTAGATAAAATGCTCTGTTCTTTTTCGGAAAATTTATCTCGAAAGGGTGGAGGGTTGGTGGATATTGAACTAGTCAACTTTGCTCACCCCATTTAAATCCTCAATAGGCGCGTGGGGGGGAAGCGAATCTAAGGGTCATGCCATTTCCACCGCCCACAAAAGTAGAAATGCATTCCGACGTCACGCAATTCCTTGCGTGCGACACTGCTTTGCGAATAACATGTGTCTGATTCACTCACCCGTCTTGCTCAAAAACGGCATCATTCTGAAGTATAATGCACTCATCAAACTTGATCGGGGAATTTTATTTCCGGTTAGTATCGCGTTATCACAAATACCACTATTACTATCAATTGAATATCTTATTTGGTATTCAACTTGAATTCAACTTTTTAAATTCAAAAACAAAATTTGAGTCCAAAGCAAAGAAAACCAATTTGGTAAACCAATTTTTAAAAACTCAAACTCAATAACAACAAAAACACACCTCAATTATTTTTATTAAAAAAAAAAAAACTGTTTTTTCAATTTTTTTTCTAACAATCCACAAGTTCTTAAATTTTTAAGATTTGAAAACAGTTTTCAAGTTGCATACCAAACAAGTTTTTGAATCTTAAAAATAGATTTAAGAACTCCTTGTTTTAAAGAAAATTCAAAGTTTTTGAGTCCCCTATTTGAATAGGATATCAAACGCCCCCTAAAGTTTTAATAGTCTTCATATGATCATTCTAAAAAACAAAACTAGTATTTATATAATCTGTATTAGAGAAGTGGTAAGTAATATAATAATATAATGATGATACTTACAGCATTTACTTTTTATTTAGATGCGACATACCCTAAAATTCATAGAGCAATGCTAGTGACACTCGGACATGCACGTGATCAATTGATGCTATCACAATTTAAAATACATTTATTTTTACTTTATTTATCTCTAACATATAAGATCATAGTGAAATTAGCTTGTAATTGACCAGGCTATCGTCCACCCTAATTTCTTAATTTTTTTTCTTTTTTCCTATAAGAATTTAATCCACATACCAAATAGTTCTCAATCCAAACTTCATCTTATGTGTCCCAGCCCAACCAAAAGGAAAAACCTAGTTCCGGCACATTGAATAGATATCGAAGCATTATTTTGCAAGTAAACTCTATCTCGGTAAATATAACATTACTGTTATAAGAATTGCGAGTATATAAATGTAATTATTGAACTATAAAATTGTCTATATCTCTCATTACGTGACAAAAAAAATATATATTATAATTGTACGCAACTGTAATAGGGAAGAATTACTCCGACTCAGATTTCATCTTTTACTTATTTGCTATAATTTGCTAGGTTTTTTTTTCGTACCTATTAATTTCCCCCAACCTCCCGTATTAAGGATGTGGTTGGTAGGCACCTTCAAGTGTTGCCTCACCCGCCCGACAGTCTTCTTCATCCTTGTCTTAAAGCCAATACAAGTTCAACTGCAAACCAACCGTATGAATTCTCTACTGCCATTTTTATTCCATTTTCATTTTTCTTGAAACAAAGACGTTTTGTTTGGTTATTTATGATTATATTGATAGTTTAGTTATCTGCTATGCGTCAGCAGTCCGTTACACCCAAGAAAAAATAGGCCTCCTATGTTCAACATCCGTCTGGGCGGTATCAACGTCAGCTGGCCTTGTCTCTCGTTACAGAGCTGAGAATCATTCCTTTTTATTGAGATCTGCATTTGAACAGTGAAGATTTCAGGTTTTATAATCCGGGTTCTGTTCAGACTTCAGAGCTGTGAAGCAACTGGAACTGGGTTCTGTTCCTAGTTTTCCGCAGACTTAGCTTCCTGTGAGTTAAAGTTTTATGATTTTGATGTGATTTCAATCATAGGTACTTTCATTTTTGTTATTTATTCTGTTGTTTTGGATTGGTTTTTGATTTCATGCTAACTTTATATTTGCAAGGGATATGAATTAGTTTCTGTTTCATTTTTAAATTCAACTGGTCAAAGCTGATAATTTTTATGCCTTCAGTTATTGGACTGAGTTTCCTTCAGCTTCTATTGGCTCTCAGTTAGTATGCTTGTAAATTTCGATATTTTTCAGTATTGTTTCTGAGGCTAGCTTATTGTGTATGCTCAATGATATGCTTAAATATCTATTTCTGGTTGCTGGTGATTGAGAATTCTTTTGCTACTGGTGATCATAGAGAGCTTCCTTGATTGCAGTTTCTAATTTTTCTTTTTGGATTTAATTATAATAAATCAGGGTATGAAACTGAAGTCTGTCAGGAATACCAGGCTTAAATTTCCCTCATAGCTTTGTTAAGGGGGCTCTTCCCAGTTCGTTGGAGATGCAAAGATGGAGAAAACACAAAAGATCATTCAGTACAGAGAGAGGCTGGACAAGACACTGGCATCTCCTAATCTAACAAATAAGGAGGCCTTAAAACTCCTTGTCAAGAATCAGCTGATTCATTCTTCCGAAAATGAAATTGGAGGTTGCTAATTATTTTCTTTTTGTGTTCTTTAATCAGTCACCGGTTGTATGTCTGTATCTTAAAATAGTGTAAGAAAATATTGACTAAAGCTAATTGTATTCGGCAAACACATAATAATTTTAGCTTTATGGGTCCTGCAGGATGTAATGAGAATGTGATAGAAGAAAAGACTGCTGAAGTATCCAATTTACTTGACATGTTGAGGAGTGCTTGCATTGTTGATGACAAGGGATTGACTACTTGTGAGACCACATCACATCCTGAATGGAAAGTATGCTATCTAATCTGCATTATCTTCTTCAAATCCTGTTTTGCTCTAGAACTGTTTTCTTGGTTACAATATTTTTCACTTTTCCTGTATCGTATATGTGTGTAAGTGCGCGTGCGTCTCTCCCTGACAGCCACACCTATAAATTTACTTCTATTGAATCAATTCTGTAATAAGTGAGGCTGATGAGTTTCATTGTTATCATTCATAAAGGATAAGAGGTTCTAACTTCTTATGTCTGTGGTTGGGCCTTTACAGATGCTGTTTGAGTCTCTTTTTTAATATGTACAACTTCTATAACTTCAATTTGTCATTAACATTTTAAAGTTGTAAATTGTTACATTCGCGTATTTGAAACTTATTTCTAAAATTTAAAAAATTTAATACAGTTCATTTAATTACAGCATATTTCATATTTTAGTCTTGACCAGTCGTCATTAAACGTTATTGAATTTGTACTAATGAGGCATTGTGACCCTTATATTGTGAAACTTACATAGTTGCAATTATACTTCATTCTACAGTTAAAACATGACAATGAACAGTTCCGTGTTATGTATCGCGAGGGAATCCAAGGCACTCCCTTTCATACATTACTTGTTGAAGGCTACGTAGACGGATCTGTTGATGACTGTAAGTTAAACTAAAACACTTGAAAGTTCGTATGCCTCATGCTACAATGGTGAACTTTAAATAAGTCAAGTCTTTTTGAGACAAACAAGTTTCATTTTATTGCAGGTTTATGCGCCTCATGGGAGTCAGACCTTTACAAGAAATGGTAAGTCATTTCAATCATTGCATGTGCACTTCATTTATGCATCTCACTTGTAATTAGATCTGATCAGCTTGATGGAAATTTATGTTGAAATAGTTGTTTCGTGTTTCCTCCTACGTGTCTGTCATCAATAAAATGTTGTGTGTGAGAGAGACAGACAGAGACAGAGACAGAGACAGAGATTACAAAAACTCTTATTCTGTTTAAAAGGAATTTAGCTCTTATTTATGCAATAATTTGTTTTGTATCCTTCTCCCAGGTGGCCTCAGTCTACCATTCCAACTTTCAAAATTCTCTCTGCCACATGTTTGCAGAAGGTCCGGATTGGTGAACAGATTTCTTTAGTGAGGTTTGTCTAAAATAAGGCATAAAACCAAATCATATGTTAAAGATTATTTTTTGTTCTTCCACTTATGAGAATGTTTCCATTCAAAATGCTGACTTTTATTTATATTTTTGGAAGAAAGGATGAAGGTTCCATGGCCACTTTCACCTAGGGAGGCTGTTGTACACTATTTTATGTTTGAGTACTTCCAAGATGATCTGATTGTTGTTCTCTTAAAATCGGTAGTTAACTGAAATAGCCTGTTGACTTCAATTGTTATTTTGCTTTCCATATGTCCAATCTTCCTAAAATTCCAAGATAGAAACCTGATAAAATTGACTTTATTGCAAATCCTGTCTCAGGTCTCTGATTCGGAAAGCATTGATGGTGTTCATGGTCTCACAAATGAGGAAACTGCTGGAGCAAAGGATTTGGTAAGGATAGATGTGGTGGGTGGCTTTGCTATACAGAAGGTTACCAAAGAAAGAAGTTACTTTCGGTAAGCTGTGGCGGCGTGAATGTGAAATTTGTTCACTTTGTTCAGTTGTTTGTAATTAAAGCCCTCAACATTGTCAATTTTTGTAGGACAATAGCAACTATGGATATAAAATTGGACTTTGTCCCGCCATCCCTTATAAATTTTTTCTCAAGGCAGCTCATTGGCAATGGTTTCCGACTCTATCAAAAGGTTATATGGTTTCCGGCTCAGAAATTTCCTTTATCTTTCCATTACCAAGATCCAAAGAGAGCCTTCAAAAAGGAAAGGGGTGGATAAATTTTTTGAATTTACGTGTTGGCCATTTTGCCGAAACTGCATGGAAACATCCCTTCATTCTCATGAGATGAGACTCTTTTTATCATTTTCTTCTCACATTTTCCAATGCTTAACACCATTACAAACTTACAGGCAGTGTCTTCTAAGCTTAACAGTGATGGAGATTACAGTAAGGCCTTGGAAGGCCCGCTGTACACTCAGATACGTGAAGCTCTTTTTCCACTTAATGAACCAAACAGACCTCTGGAAGGAGAAAGGCTAAACAGTGACACGTCCAATCTCTCTGAAGAACATCTAATGAAAAATCAGATGAGTGACTTGAAGTTGGTGGATATGGATCAGAAAGTTGAAAATGATCACCCTGCAAGTGAAGCTGCCCCAGATGATGCACAAGTTCACCCTGCAAGTGAATTGATGTCAGATGATGCATTAGTTACTGGCAGAAGCACTTTTGGTGAGATTGAGGAGGTAGAGAGCGAAGACGGCAGGCAGCTTGAGAATCAAACATCCAACAGAGTTGCAGAAAAGGGTCTAGTAAATGGAAAGAGAAATGTTGTTATCAGTTCTGAGGTAGAACAAGCATTAGGAACATTAGAAAAGATAATTTATAAGGTTCGAAAAAATGGATTGAATGCTCAAATTCGGTCCTCTTCTGGCTTCACCAATGAAATCCCCCGAAAGGAAACTTATGGAGGTAACCCAAAAGCCTTAGAAGGTGGAGTGTGTATAAGTGGTGAACGTTTTGTTGAAGCATCTAAAGAAGAAGTCATTGAGAGGACTTTGCCTAAGTCTGTGACAAATAGCTCTGGCATTCACAACTTAAGGTAATTAATTATGCATATTATTGATCATAATCATTTCCTGCGCATTTTCCTAGAAATTTGGGTTCCGAATCGTATACCTTCCTTTAACGCCATGATTTTATCTAGGAGCCAAAAGGTTAACCTTTTTTATTTTTCTTATGTCCCAGCTATGCAGGATCAAATTCTCTGTCAAAGGAAGTTAACCATAACAGAATAGTACCTACTTCCCTAGAGCAGGAGCTTTCAATTTCTTGCGATAATAACCAGTCTGCCTTGTGTTCCTCTAAAGATGGGACTGCAGAGGTACCTGTATTAGACTTGGATCATATTATGTACGGCACCACCAACCACATGAGCTCCATGAAAAATGGCAAGGATGAAAATATCCCTAATAGAACGAAGAAATTGACGAAGAAAAGAAAGCATCGGTACTGTTGCTTCAGCATGAATTAAAGACAGGCAGATTTTTCAGAGGTTGGGATTTGAAAATGCAAGTCTGAGTTTTGTTAAGTCACTCTTCGTTGTAAGCCTAATAGATGACTGGAGTGGATTTGTAACATTTTACTTATAGAATGGTTAAATGTATAATACATTGTTTAGAAGGTCCAAGAGGCAGTGAAGGATGTACCAATATTTTAGAATAATCACCTACATAATAAGTAGTAATGCAAAATTTATTTTTTAATATAGAACATGGGACTCGTTCTTTCATCAGTTCTGTGATGAAAAATATTGTTCTTATTATAGTTGAGAGTTGTGATTTGAGAATACTTTTTAGTCCCCATCATGAAAGTAATGCTAGTCCACTTGGATGAGCAATGCTTGGGAAATAAAACAGTGAAAATGGCAGAGAACAACTTGCATCCAAGTTGCTCTCCTGGTTGTGAATCTTCTCTTTTGTCCAGTTGTCTGGCAACACAAGATGCTGACGTTGTCAGAGTATGAACCACATAAACATTTGACTGACAACAGACATTATCCTACAAAGAACAATAGAGAACTTGTACCAATGATTACTTGGGTTTTTGATTTTTGATTTCTTATACAAGAGATACCGGAGAAAGGGAAATCGAACTTAAGAACTCAGGTGCATAGATAAATTCAGATATTATACACATAATTTTTACATATTATTGAATAAAAATAATATATATTTAAAAAATTAAAACAAATCATATTAAAATATTATATAGTGGCCGAACTTATCAGTTATAATTTGCCAAAATATTGCCGAATAAAACACGTATGTCTTTTATTCACATTTTTCATGTTCTGTACTTTACTAATTGAAAGGATGTGAGAGGCTAAGATTTTAACTTGTTATAACAAAAATGCAAGATGGTGATTTTGCAAACTCTTTGCCAACTAGAACAACAATTTCAAACAAAGATTTATGGGTATAGTAGTAAGCGAGGTGGTAGTATTCTTCATGTAAAGTGTTGTTTGAAATGTCAAGCAATTAACAAAAACACTCTAACTCAGCATGCATTTCTCTACAACAAATAATGTGTGCAGTGCAGTAACAGAATTTTGTAGCACTAGAGAGAACGAGGTAGACCAAAGACAAACGTTCTCACAAAAAAAAAAAAAAAACAGAACTCTCAAATTGATTTATTGTGAAATTTCTCTCTTCAAAATCTGCTTTGGAGATGTCGAAACTAACAAATTCATATCTATAAAGTATAAACTAATGCAACTAAGAGGGTCATTTTATTTTATTTATTCTTTTAATAAATTGTATAGCCGTGCGGCTATACTCCCAATAAAATATACTTGAACAGTATCGTCGGGCTGCTAGTATAGCCGCACGGCTATACTTTTTTTGACACGAAGAGGGCGCTAGGCGCCAGACCAGGCGGGTGGTCTTTCTTCGGTATAAATAGTATAGCCGACCGGCTATACTGGAGGTTTTTTTAATAAAAAGGAATATCGCCGTCCGGCTTTACTAGTTTTGACACGTGGCGAAATGGCGCAGGCGATCTTTTTTTCTTTAATAAATAGTATCGCCGGCCGGCTATACTCGGATTTTTTAATAAAATAGTATAGCCGAGCGGCGATACTATGGTTTTTATTATAAAGATTAGGTTAGCCGCACGGCTATACGGTTTTTTAATCTAGGTCCCTTTTTAGTATAGCCGTGCGGCTATACACGGTTTTTAAAAAAAGAATATAGCCGCATGGGTCTGCTACTGATAAAAAAAGATATTATAGCCGCGCGGCGATACTCGGGATATTTTTTTCGTAAAATGGGCATAGCCGCCCGGCTCTACTCGGGATATTTTAAAAAAAATAAGTATAGCCGCCCGGCTATACGCTTCAGTAAAATTCCAGCATTCCCGGAAAATGTACCTTTTTTATGCTAAAAAGAGAAAACCAAAAGTACCCTTTTTATCCTTCTCCTTCAGTAAAATTCCTCCTCTGTCCCCTAAAATATTGCCATTATTCCTTGAACCCTGGAAGTTACAAGACACTTGTTAAGCCAACCGCCAGAGGTCTGTGAGCTCCAACAATGTTGAACAAACACCTACTTACTTCTCTCTCCTCCGTTCTCCGACGAACCCTAACTCCGACGTCTCATTTCTCATTCAATTCCACCAGGTGGTTTCAATCTGGCACTTTCTTCTCACCCAATGTAAAAACACACCACCGCCTTTTCCCGTGTAGCGGATTGGATTTTCTCGAGATTCACAACATTCGCGGAAAATGTTTTACCTCCTCCCAATCAGCGGAGAAAGCCAGCACCAAGTGCTGGAACTGTGGTGCCGCGGCTGAAGCGGTGCCGTTTCTGTTGTGTTCATCTTGTCGGTGCATTCAACCTGTGGATCAGTCGGTGGATTACTTTCAGATATTTGGACTGTAAGTAATTGAATCTTTGAGAACTAGAAATTCTTATCAGTATTTCGTGAATTCAGTTGTGGTGGTTTTTTTATTCTCTCTGCTTTGAATTTATGGTTCGTATTTGTTTGGTTACCGAGAAAGCGGAGAGGGAGGTGGAAAGAAAGTGAAAATTTTGAAACTTGTTTAACAAATTATTGGTTTCAAATCTTTAGTTTATGTTATTCTGATTTGAGCATTTCCTTTCACAAATTAAAAAGAATGAAAATTTGGAAGTTTTAGATAGTGTTCACTCTTCAATGTGATTTCCCTTTTTTTTCTTATAAAAATTAGTTTTGACAGGGAGAGAAAGTATGACAGTGTGGTGGACAATCTGGAGGGACAGTATAAGGAATGGCAGAAAAAATTGCACCCTGATCTTGTTCATACAAAATCAAAGGTATTTCTGATACATCTTTGTATTTCAAAATATAAGATATAAAAATAGTAACTATACGAAGGAGAAAGTTTTGTTTTGTTTTAATGTTTATTATGTTGTTAGGAGGAAAGAGAGTATGCTGCTGAACAGTCTGCTCGTGTGATTGATGCATACCTCACACTTAGCAAGCCCTTGGCGAGGGCAATCTACATTGTAAGTGTACTTTTCACCTATTAGATTTGTATTCGTTGTTGTGCTCAGAGTTGATTCATTTTCATGGTACCTTGTTGCGTTGAAAACAATGTTATGAGAACCGCACTGTTAATCAGAAAATGGTCTTGGTCGAATGTGGTTACTTGGTAAATACACACACACACACATATACATTTATATATATACTACGGGTTTTAGAATTTAATTGTGCTATTTTGTTTTCAGTTGAAGCTTGAAGGTGTGGATGTTGATGAAGAAGAGACACTTTCAGAATCAGAGTTGTTAACTGAGGTAATTTGCAAAAAGTTGACTTTGTTGTCTTTATGCAGTATATTCTCTCCTTGTTTTTCCAGACATAACAACTATATCTGTTTGTAACTGGAGCGTTATAAATTATAATTTTTCCCATAGTCCAAAATTTTGGTGCAAAGTGACTGAAAATCTGCGAAAGAGTTTGATGCTCTATATCATATGGAATCTTTGACATTTAGAGTGCACATGTTTCGAGACAAACATCACCCATCAGGGTCTCCCCCATCTTGACAAATCTTTCATGGTGAAAATATTTGTAAACATAAAGATAGTTGACGCTTGCTTTATAGAGTAATTTGCATTGGTATTTGAGGTTATCAATATGGCTTTGGCTGTTGGGCATGTTGCAAGTGACATGACAGTTTTGTGGTGGAAGTTTGGCATGGTTTGCAGTGGAGATAGTTTCTTTTTATATATTTTTTTCTTCAAAAATATAAACTTGGGTTATAAATATTGGAGAAAGCATAGTACCTATAGACGTTTTGGAGTCACTGACTTGTTTTTATTTTGTTTGCATGGATATACTGAAGTTGATAGAGTCGTTGAGTCAATTTTTTCTTTTTCTGATATCTGGTCTCCATTAAAGACTATGATTTTCTTATACCTTCTGACTTTGAAATTGCAGATTCTGGAAATCAGGGAAGCTGTTGAAGAAGCTGCTGACGCTCAGGCTTTAGTTCAGATTCAGTCTCAGGTATGACCCGAGACCTTTCGAATACATTTGGGAATGATTAGTTAAACATCACAGTAGCATGGCACTTCTCTTATCCTGCCACATATGTGGCTTGCAGTCTAATTTGTAGAGCCTTTTTAATTCACGTGTTAAGTTAATCAGAATATGCATGATGGCGAGTTTAGTGCCCTTTCATTCATTTTATTTCTTTTCTTAACTAACTTTTCTTCTTGTTCATCCAGATGCAAGAGAAAATGAAGCACTGGTCTAACTCTTTTGCAAATGCATTTCGAAGCCGGAACTTTGATGAAGCTCTAAAAGCTATCCGGAGAATGACTTACTATCAGCGTGTAAAAGAAACTATCGTAAAGAAGCTGTAGTCAAGGTAGTGTATACAAGTTCTTAGCTAAATAATCAATATTCAATAGACATCATGAGTGTAGGAGACATCATATAGGGCAAAGTGTATAATTATGTCTGTGTATGAACCTGAGTTCGGGAAAAGGGCTCTGTTCTATCCAATTCATGTGTTTGGTCTTGCTCTGTTCTATCCAATGCATATGTGTTTGGTTTTCTCCGAGGCATGGTAGTCTACGGTTGTGCATGCCTACACACACATAGTTCGTAGGTATTGACCCAGAAAACTCACGCTTGACCTCCTACTTATGGGAAAATGAAGGGCACCATTTGCTCCATATGGTTATGAACTTATGTTGTCATCCTATAATGTCAAGTAATAAATCGAATATACAGAATTGCCAGTTGGTTTTCCTAGAAATTTCTTTATTGGAAAAGATTGGACCTTTTTATATATATTATTATTAAATTATGAACATATGAACAATTCTAATGAGCCTGTCATTTGGTAACTTTCAGGCTCTTTAGTTCTGAAATTGGTATGGTTCTGGAGCAAACCAAATATAATTCCATGATTGAGAAGTAGAAGATTTGATGGCAACATGTGAGTATTTTTGGATTTTAGAAAAACAATGTGATGCTTTGTTATTTTCTTTTATCCTCTTTTAATTTGCATGAATGAAAGCTGATCCTAGATTGTTCCTCGTTGCAGCCAGATTTTGATTGAAGACCTGGTTGAGATTTGCCCGGCATCCTTCCGAGACAAATTAAATGTCAGAAAATACAAAGATTGGGCTGACATTTGGTCCAGCTGCAAGTACTTTTTTCATCATACTATTCTGTAACCTCTTATGATGGTTTAGAGATAGCTCTTAATAATACGAATGCTTGTTGGATGTATTGTCCATGCACAAGCTGTACCTGGCAAGCACTCTCTTGCAGAATAAGTGTTCTATTTATCTTGTTATAAAATGAAAAGATTGTTCCAAATAAATGCCACAGAAGAGCGAGCCAAATCAAACACCATACCAGTCATGCCCTTAAAACAAGGATTAGGAATTATGTTAACAACTTACGTTTTCTTATTAAAGACAACTTTTGCTGCATTACATTGCGAGCCAAATCTTGCTTACCTTCTCTGTTAAGCCCATAAAATACGGTTCGAAAATTGACCACACTGGGAACAATCCCAGTGTTCAACATTTCAGGTATAAGCTGCATGGCTTCTTCAGATTTACCCACCTTACAAAGACAAGAAATGAACATTGAATAAGTTCTGAAATCAGGCAATGGCCCTTTTTGTTTCATCTTGTGGAAGACTTCCCAAGCTTCAGCAAACATTTCCATGTTCATGTACCCTCGAATGAGCGCAGAATACGTAACAATTGTCGGTTCACAACCCTCCTGTTGCATTTCCTTAAAAATTTCTAAAGCTTTTCCTATCTGCTTCTCTTTGAAGAAATGAACTATTAAAGAGGTATATACATGGACGGTTGGATTTATGCCTGCCTGCTTCATAGAATCCACCTTGGCCAGTGCTGCTTCTAACTGTCCACTCCTCAGAAGTCCATGAACAAGGCTCCCATAAGTGTACTGATCCAGTTTTGACCGGTCCTCCCTGACATCATCCATCAATGCTGCAGCTTCTTGCAATCTCCCAGCTCGACAAAGAGCCCTAATGTACAGGGAATAACAAAGAGGAATTGTAAAACCAGCTTTAGAGAGCAAATCTATGCATCTTCTAGCATCTGATAGCTCACCAACTTCACATAAACAACCAAGATAAGATTCAACCAATTCTTTGTCAGGTACATGATTGGCACGAATCATCTCCTGGAATATTCTAATTGCTTCATCTGCCTTTCTACCTTTTCTCCCACAAAGAGATATGATCAAATACTTGTAGGTACTGCCAGTTGGGCTGTAATTATTAGACTTCATCTCTTCAAAAATCTGAAGAGCAATCTCTGTCAGACCTGTTCGACCATATTGCATTATCATTATTGTCCATGTATCTGCTGTTATTGAGAAACCTTTTCTTCTCATTTCATAGAAAAGGCTTCTCATGTGTTTGAAATCTTTCCCTTGTCCTGCTATTTTGATAGCCATGTTATAAGTTTCGGTAGTGTGGCTATAACCAGTTTGCTTTCCCACCCATGAGAAAAATTGTAATGCTACCAAACCATGCATACTGCTACTCCTCAAAATTTCCAGAACGAGCCCTGGAGTGAAATCAACAGAAGAATTCTCCAAAGCTTCCTGAATAGAGCACCAATCTGTTGACGAGGACAGAATTCTACAAATTTTTTGCAAGTCCTGCTCATCATAAGCTTTTGAAAGTGGCTCCAATAAAGGATTGCGATCCATCCTCGCTGGTTCTGAATGGTTAAAGTCCAACCCAGTATTGAGCTCCTCTCCCTTGCACGGATCCTTACTAAATACCTCTTCTTCTTGTGGTTGAAGTTTATAGATTCTCTGCATCTGTTTTACTTTTTCAAGGTTCTCCGTCTCTCCCTTTTTCTCCATATGATGTATAGCCAAGTTAAATATGTCATCTCGAATGACTATACTAGATGCTTGCATATCATCCAAGACCTTGAGAATCTCATCTGTCCTTGAAATTCTGCATAGCTCCTTGATGAATACAGAATATGACTTGACAGTGGGCTCGATGCCTTTCTCCTTCATATTATTAAATACTTTCCATGCTTCAGATATATGGTTTTGGCGGATGTGACCTGCAACCACAGCTGTGATTGCCACACTATCTGGTTCAACTCCACTTTCCAGCATCTCTTCATAGAGCTCACAGCCTTTTTGATATTCATTCAACTTAAAAAGGTGTTGCATCAGCTCTGTGTAGGTAGAAGTCATAGGAATATATCCAGATTCTTTCATGCTATGAAACAGATCAAGTGCTTTAGAAACATCATTTATTCTTAAGTACCCGTTGATGATAATCCCATAAACCTTCCCATCAAGAATATTTCTTCTCTTCATGATATCCAAAATTTCCAACGCGTCTACAATTCTATCAGCCCTACACAGTCCTTTCACCAAAGTCTCAAAATACTCAGGGCCAAGAATAACCTCTTTGTTCTTAAGCACACGAATAAATTCTAAAGCTTCTCTGATTCTTCCAGAGATACAGAAACACTTGAGGACAGAACCATAAACAATGTGTTCTGGAATCTGCGAGACTCTAATCATGTCATCTGAAACCAAGGCAACAGCACCAGTCTCTCCGGATCTAGCTATACCATTCAATAACAGCTTGTACAAATTCGTGTCAAGCCCAATGTCCTTCTTTACCATCTCCTTGTAAAATTCCATTGCAACGTCAGATTTTCCAGCAGCACAGAGTGCGCGTATCATCAACCTATAAACCACTGCATCCGGTTCATAACCGCATTTCCTCATCTCTTCATAGACCAACAAGGCTTTGCCAATTAACTTAGCCTTCCCATACAGTGAGATAAGAATAGTCCAAGTCTTAACGTCTTTCTGGCACGAATTCTTTCCCATTTCATCCACCAACTTCTCCACCATTGCAAACTCTTTGGCTTCCCCTGCGATAAAGAGCATGGTATTATAAGTCTCTGTGGTATGACGAAACCCTTCTTTGAGCTTCACCCAATTGAAGAATCTCAAAGCCAAATGTGGCACTTTAAAGCACCTCTTCAAAACTTTGTCAACAATCTCTGAATCTAACTGAAAACCCAAGTTTTCTAACAGCTCTTCCATAGAAACCAAACCATTTTCCGCCCTGACAATCTTTGTAACCTCATGAACAACCGGGCTAACATCAATTTCAGCCACATTTTCCAAGTGGACATCTTCCAAAACCGTTATATCTTCCTTTTGTTGCAGTACACTATCCTCCGCATTTCTACGAACAGCTAGCGTGCAAGGCGCGCACTCTTCCCCAATCTCACCAACCTTCATCTGGGCTTCTTCAGATATCAAAATCCCAGACGGAGTTTTCTCCGCAGTAACATTCTCAGCGCCCAAAATCTCACTTATTTCACTGAAGAGCGAGCCAAAGCCGCTGCTTTCTGCTTCTTGTTTCGAGTGGGCTTTCTTAGGCTTAGATGGTTTATTGAGTGTTGCAAAATGATCTGCCTTGTAATACTTTGAGAAGCGGAAATGAAGTATCTTGCAGGTTGAGCTTGAACACAAGGTCTGCAGTTT